TTGCATCAACTTAATACCGTCTAGGTTGCCTTTTAAATATAAAATATAATGCGGTTGATTTACTAAAACTGGAAAGTGAAAAATCTGGTGCAGCTGTGCATGGTAGCCAATCAGCTTTGAACTTCAGCTTGTTCAGTTAAGCTTTCACAAAAATACCTGGGAGCCGATTGGTTTCTATGCAGAGCTGCACCAGATTTTGCACTCTCCAGCTTTAGTAAATCAACCCCACGCTTTCCTAAAACTAAATAAAGAGATTGGGTGGCACTGACAATCGGAAGATAGTGGGGAATGGACTGGATAGTGTACATACAGCTGAGGGATAGAGAGAATAGGGGGCGGGGGGATATTGAACAGTCTAATTACTGCCCACCTGTTGATCCACTCAATACTTTGGCTGCAATTCAAGGTGGAATTTGATTCCAAAATCTGCAGCCAACTTTTTTTCCTCTCTCCCAGTGTCTAAAAGGCAGTGACTTTGATGATGTCAATGCACAGAACCTAGCTGCAGGTTCTAAATCTGGAGAGCACTGCTCGCAGGAGAGAAGCATTTACAAACTCCACTAACCTCAAACTCAAAGATTCTCAGTGTTCTCTAAAGTGTTGGAATGGTTTCACCCTTCTTCCTAGGATGAAGAACCACTTTAATATTTTGTAGACGTGACCACAGGTACTAATAAATGTCTAGTTTCACCTCTAGTAAACACTTGACAAAAAACACAAGAAATGCATCAATCTTACCGCAATGCTAGTGAAAATAAGGCTGTTAAAGTGGCTTTGGAGAGAGATGGGCGTGATCGTGCCAGGCCATTAGTGAGAAGAATCTGTAAGGATCAATCCATATATCATTTTGTTTTCTAGAGTATGGTTTCAATTACCTACAAAGGTTTACATGTGAAATCACACAACCAAATTAAATAAATGTTATGCATTGGAATTTTAATGACAAGTTTAAATCTGAACTCCAGCTTTTCCTTCAGTCTTGCACAGTTGTACAGGTTCCTGTTCTGTATTGAAAATGCTTAGTCTGATTTCACTGAAAACTGAGCTCCTTAAAGCCCATTCCTATCCTGTCTGACTGTCCTTCGCCCATCCTTTTTATTAATTGGATTTCAGTTTCAAACATGAAGATTAGGCATTACATGACTGTCCCTAACCCTCCCCTTTAATTAACTAGGAAGAAGAGGATTTGTCACATGGATAAACAACCGAGGTGGATGCCCTCAGACTCACTAAGTGAAGTATACCTTTCATGTCAGATGATAGATCTTGGGAAAATATACTTTGCCTCTTTTAGCATCATATAAATCACAGACTCAGACAGGCTCCTGTCCCTCAGAAGATGGGCTTTAACAGCAATGCCGTTAAAGTCAGTGGGAAAGAAGATCCTGATAATCTGGTAGTGCCCATGGAGCATCAAGGTACCACATCTGCATGCAACAGTCTGGAGCAATGAGGATTACTAGAATGCCTCTATCTCAATTCTGCAAAGCAGATGAGGAAGAAATCTCAGGGCATGAAAGGCATAACTCTAGTTATACTGATCCCACAAAGCCACCAGGGCATCCACTGCTTCTGCTAAAGGATTCCTGTACCTAAAGACAAACCTGTTTAGTGTGTTGTTGAACTTGGAAGCCAAGATGTCGTCCCTTCAACTTGGGTTCTGGGAACATTTCCAGGTGTAGGGACCACTCTTCTGGGTCCAGGCATTGCCAGCTGTGGAAGCCTGCCTGCTAATTGTCTACATCTGGAATATACATCTACATCTGGAATATACATGGCTAACAAAGATGAACTGTGAAACTGCTTCCCCGAATACAGAACCAAATTCCCAAGCCACCGCACCAGAAGCAACCTGGTCCTTTGCAACAAATGAACCGGTCCCACAACAACAGAATGTTCTGATATTGGAGTGAAACTGGCCAAATGGAACTTTCTTGAAGGAGGCTACCATTAAAATTGGCTACCATTAGGCTTATGACTTTCATGCAAAAGCAGAGAGTTGAATGACTCCTAGAATGGAGAGGTTGAATCTGAACCTTAAACCGAGTAGGGGGCAGGGATGAAACTCCAGTTTATAGTCCTGGGATACCACCTCCTGCACACAAGTATCTGAGATACAAGCTGTCCAATCAACCACAAAGGTTAACAAAAAAAACTCTGGAAAGTGGGGGCACACCTTCATGCAGAGGAAGGCTGGTCTGAAGATTTGACAGACTTTGAAAGACCTTGTGGGTGGACTGGGAGCCAAGCTTGGGAGATCCAGACGTGAAGGTTGATGAAGTGAAGAAAAGGAAAGGGATGTTTCTTAACATTCAGAGAGGAAGAAGATTTTGCAGTCTATCCATTAGGCTTCTCCCAAAGAGGCAGATGGGTGCTTTTGCCACCAGCAATATCCCTGATAATAATATTAAGCCGAAGAGACATTGTCCCTCGAAGGCTATGCAGATCAGAAGTTTATTTTACACAAGGGTTCAGCACCCCAGCACTTTGGTCAAACATGGGACATGTTCAGGAATTGAAGTGAGAGGCCTCCTGTAAACTGTCACAAATAAAGCCAGGATAGGGCGAAGGGCAGGACCTCCAAACAGAGCTCCAAAAAGGTGTTATTGGTTGGATTCTTGAAAATACGCACATGCTGTACTGGAACAGGAAGCGTCTTGTTAAAGCAGGACATGGCTGAATCCACAGTAAGGCTAGGTTCACACCTATGCAGTTTGCATTTGAGCCATTTCTGCAGTGCGTTTTGCATTTTTTGCACTTGCGTTTTTGCCACGTTTTGCATTTTTCAATTTTTTATTCTTGTTGCTAGGCAGATTTGAAATGCAAAGTGCAGCAAAAATGCACTACATGCTTTTCTGCAGCATTTCCATTTAAGTCTATAGAACCAAAAACGCAACTTTTTGAGTTAAAAAAAGTCCCTGACCCTTTCCAAAAAATGCACTGGGTGAAAACGCGACGATGTGAACGTGTCCCATAGGAAATCATGTTAAATGGACTGTAGTGCGTTTTTGCAAAACGCTGCGGAGAGCACTTAGGTGTGAACATAAGTTATGAATGGACAAACTCTGTACAAAATTATCACTAAACAGATACAAGGCAGAAAAGTGTTTGGATGAAGCAAATTACTTATCAAGATGCTTCCACTCTACAAATAGTCAGAGAAGTAAGGTGCAAAGGGAAAGTCTTTATGGTGTTAAAAGTTTGAAATGACTCAAGGCTTGAGACAGCTCTGTTATTCCAATGTTGTGGAAAGCAACAGGCTGATCCTCTAGTTTCAGAGTGGTGCATACTGCATTAATCGAGAGCCAAAAAGGCTTTGGGTAGTAAATGCAGTAGACTGAGTCCTCATGGGTAATCTGATCAGTCAAGGACTGGCGCTACTCACAATTAGACAAAGTCACTGCAGCTCATGGCTTAGAAGCCGTAAGGCTGAAGGTAAATCAGACACAAAATCCGCGAAGGGCACAATTGTAGCCCCTGCAATCAAAGTCAGTAAAAAACTTGGTTATTTGGCCTTAAAGGTTTGCTCGACCATTGTAAAAACCTCAGCAACATCTGATTAAGCTAAAGAGGACACAGAAGATGGAATAGACTTCAAAAGCAGAAGGCAATATCACTCCAGACTATAGCAGTGTCGGTAGGCACGTATCCCTGGAGCCATTGAAGTGAGCTGAATCAACCGAAACAGCAGGACTCTACTCTCAACTTCGCCTATCTAGAATTAGACATTTTGTAACCACACAGCGGTAAGGCAAAGTACAGGATCAAGGTAGGAGGAAAGTCCTCAGATACTCCCAAAACTCAAACAGCTATAATCAGCTGAAAGGAGATGCGTCCTCAATGCTGTATAAGGGTGGGAAGAAAGCAAGAAGCTCACTCACAGATGGTGTCAACACCCAGCAGATGGTGTCATCTCTCAGTCCCAGAGCCTTAACTCTTTCCAAAGCACAGAACAGGGTTAAAGGTACCCAAAATTATACAAATGAAGAAGCTCCCAATGCTCAGCCTAACCAGCTCACTCACAATTTATATCTTCAGAGACAGGGCAAGTAATGAGACAATGCCAGCAAATCTGGACTTGGAAAGCACTTTACAGCTAACTTACAAGAACGAAGACCGGAAAGTACCCCATGTGGAACCCAGTGAATGCCTGAATGTCACATCCAGGTTATTCTAACAAGGTCCATTCCAGCAGGGACCGGACACAGTACACCAAAATCCAGGCCGGGTATGAATGTGCCAGATAGATTCAATCAAAGCGACACAGCTCCAGCAGTTTTAATAGAAGAAAGAAAATTGAAAAACTAAAAAAGTGGTTGCAAAAAAATTGGTTAGTCCTAAAAACAGCAGCTGAAGAAAAGCTTCCTTCCAGGACACTAGGAAAAGAAAACTGAAGCATACTGGTAGTAGGAAAATTTTATCCTGGACTGGCCTACAGTTTTTGCTTGCCAGTGTCCAATCCTGCTCAGGGACATTATAATCCAAACGTTTAGGATTGCGTGTCCCTCAATGGACAAGAAAGAAATTACATTTTCTTAAAGACACAAAAGACTCATTTTACAAAGCAAACAAACCAGAACAAGGATCTTACTTTTCACAAAAAAAAAAAAAAACCAGTGAAAGTGGTTTTCAACCAAATTAGATTTAAAAATTTAAGCCATAGCCGGTCATAGCTCAAAGCCTATGATTGATCTTAAGGAAAACCACAAAAAGAGATGAATGCTACAGCTAGTTTGAAACTGCAAACGTCGACTTATTCCCCCTTAGGTATACTTCTGAAGCACTGATTGATAAGTGCTAATTTATCTGGGAGAAAGACATCGAAGATCTATGCTGATCCAAGTCATTTCAGGGCCAGTTCATCAGTCGGTAATATTTACAGGTTCTCGTCTAACTGTACATGTTAATCAAGGGGGTAGTTCTGAGTCTCACAGTGAATCCATAACAACATTTGCAGTTTTAGCAAACAGAGGTACATCATTTTATGCAGTTGAGAAACACTAGTCTATGCTATGGTTCAGTACCTGTAACACTGAGTAAAAGCCTTTCTGATTGAGGTGACCCATTATGTTTGCACAGATATGGTTCATTGCTGGTCTCAAGCTTTCTCCTGAAATAAATACATATTGATTACAACTGTTAAAAAATTATCTTAATAAAATGCTAGCTAACTCCAAGTGCATTTACACTGCAAAACAAAAGCAGAGCCGTTAGCAAACATGCAAGTCAAATCACATGCTTAGCATGTAGTTTTGTATTTTTAAAGACATACAGTATATTTGAAATGTATTTTTAAAAATATTTTTCATATATTTTGTAATAAAAACGCATTTCAACATGCAGTATATATATTTTTTTATTGAAATAGATTTTAAAATATATTGACTATGGCCAAAATTGTAGCATTTCAAATATATGTCAATATATTTGGGAGGAATATTTTTAAAATATATTTTTTTTCCATATGGGTATAGCCAGTAAAGATTTCATTGTGTGAGCCCCAACTATACACACACTTTGACGTGAGGGGGGTTCATAGTAATTCTGGCTGCTCTCAGGACGCTTGTTCTAAATAAGGATTTCATCTCGGATTCAGGTTTTATCTGCAGGGCCCAACCTTCACCTCCATGGCTCATTTAGACCATAACAATCTTTTACAGGGAATGCCTTGTTCGATTGCTACACACAGGACTAGGAATAAAACATAGTTTTTCATATTTCGTACATTTCTCAACCTTTACGTCCATGGCTCACTTATGCTGTAACATAACCTTTTACAGGGAATGCCTTGTTAAAGAGAAACTCCACTTCTGCTGACAAAAAACATTCCACTCTGGGTGATCTATGTACATTACAAGGACTTTAACAAACTTTGTTGCAGATTCCTTTTATAATCCCAAAAATATAGCTGTTTGTGTCCATCTGCAAAGTGAATCTGTATGAGAGTGACTTCATAATTTTCTATTAGCTGCTGCACCTGTAGGGCTCTAATGAGGAAAGTGCAGGGCTTGCATCCCTTTAGACATGACTTCCCTTTGGAGTATCTCACCAAAAATGAAATTTTTGTTGCAGAGGATGCTCAGAATCTGACTTGTAACTTAGTGCAGACTTCTTGGAAAATCAGTAAGCCAATCACTCAAGCAGGACATGGGGGGCATTTCGAACACCATCTGGGTACAGAATGACTCCAGGTAGCCATACTGCATTTCATTTGAAAGGTAATTTTTAATAACATTCAATTACAATATGACTTGTATCTCAATTGTATATGCTACATTCATTTTCATTTGCTTTTTTTTTCCCCACAAAAGTGGAGTTACCCTTTAAATTACTATGCTCAGGACTAAAACATATAGTTATTCATGTTTTGCTTTAGTCACGTAAACGTGAAATGTCGCATATGAATATTTTACATTTACCACTTGTTGACAGCATGTTGCAATCATAAAAAAATCTGAATATATTTATAAAATATATATTTAAAAATATATATTTTTTAAATATATTCTTCAGATTAATATATTCTTCAGATTCAGTAACGGATAAGTTCACCTTTTCACCAAAAATAATAAATACACATTTTTTTGCAGGTAAAAAAAGGTGCATTTATTAAATATGGTCGCAGGAGCCTGTAAAGCATTGCACCAGCAATAAGCAGATCAGTTATTAATTCATAATGTGTTGCGCTCCCAGTGAGAGTATCAAAGATATTAATTCTATTTACCCTTTTGTAAACAAATATATACTCAGGTAATGTGCAAAAAATGCAAAATAAAAATATATATAGTGATAAAAAAATTATTATATATATTATTATCCACTAATGAAAAAATGGAAAATGTGAAAATAATACCCTTGAAAACAATATGTGATAAAAATGTGTACTAAAACAGGAATATAAATAAATCAATATGCATCATGATTATTCAAAAAAATAATAAATAATTAATAAATATATATACTGCTAATTAATTATTTTGTGATAATAATGTCCTTTAATTTCTGTGACTTTGTGCTTGATTAAATCTTGATTTGGTGACTTATTGTGAATCCGTGACTTTCTTTAAATCCTTAATCAGTGAAGATGTATGCTCACCTCCTTATCAGCCTGCAATTAGGCTATTCACACTTGTGGTTCACTTCCCATGGAACCTGTTTAGATGGAATTCCTCCTTTACAGATTGTAAAAAAAAACGTGGATATCCGTTATCCTTAATTAGCCCTTGTGCGTTTTTCCATATGTGGGAACAAATTGCCAGACATAGTGTTTTATCCTTATAAAAAGGTTTCCGCTTTATTGCTTTCCAATAGGTACACTCACATAGATAGTGTGCGGTATAGGATGAATTGCTCAGCTCAAGTAATCCGCCAACCGTCCAGCCATGCACCCGCCGTCTGTCAAACACTCCGGCTCTCTCCGAGTGACAACGCAGCCCCACCCCTACGCCACTGGTCACGAATCACAACCCCCTGATGAAGCCACGTGACCAGTGGCGTAGGGGTGGGGCTGCGTTGTCACTCGGAGAGAGCCGGAGTGTTTGACAGACGGCGGGTGCATGGCTGGACGGTTGGCGGATTACTTGAGCTGAGCAATTCATCCTATACCGCACACTATCTATGTGAGTGTACCTATTGGAAAGCAATAAAGCGGAAACCTTTTTATAAGGATAAAACACTATGTCTGGCAATTTGTTCCCACATATGGAAAAACGCACAAGGGCTAATTAAGGATAACGGATATCCACGTTTTTACAATCTGTAAAGGAGGAATTCCATCTAAACAGGTTCCATGGGAGGTGAACCACAAGTGTGAATAGCCTAATTGCAGGCTGATAAGGAGGTGAGCATACATCTTCACTGATTAAGGATTTAAAGAAAGTCACGGATTCACAATAAGTCACCAAATCAAGATTTAATCAAGCACAAAGTCACAGAAATTAAAGGACATTATTATCACAAATTAATTAGCAGTATATATATTTATTAATTATTTATTATTTTTTTTGAATAATCATGATGCATATTGATTTATTTATATTCCTGTTTTAGTACACATTTTTATCACATATTGTTTTCGAGGGTATTATTTTCACATTTTCCATTTTTCATTAGTGGATAATATATATAATAATTTTTTTATCACTATTAATTTTTATTTTGCATTTTTTGCACATTACCTGAGTATATATTTGTTTACAAAAGGGTAAATAGAATTATTATCTTTGATACTCTCACTGGGAGCGCAACACATTATGAATTAATAACTTTATGGACACAGAGGTAGTAGTGTGTTGAGTGTTTGCGATCCTATTAACATTTGGGACAGTGTGTGTCCATTTTTTTTGATGGTTTTGAGGGGTTAATATTGGGTTAATATTGGGTGGATATATTGGCTCGCAAGTCACACAAATATCTGCTAATTGACTAATAAGCAGATCAGTGGTGCCATAGAGGTCACCTCCAGACCTGTCAGTATATATATGCTAAAAACGGGTGTAACATGTAACAAGTTCCAGAAGGAGAACTTATCCTTTAATTACTGACCTGACTTGCTCATATGTTGTGAATAGTCCATGCTGTGAATAGACCTGAAAACTAGAGGTATGCACATCCCTTTCACTTACTACTTGCAGAGAGGGAACCTTTAGCATTTTTAAGCCATGGGGCTGACGCTGGGCTTTTTTTTTTTACTAGGCTATCAATGCTTTAAGCCTATATATTTTACCAGAGAATACCCAGTATTGTATGTGGCAGCATTATTAAAAACTGAAAACACACCTTTCCCTCTAAATATCTTCCAGGTGGAGGTGTCTGTGAAGTTGACTAGCATGGTGAGGTAGAGAGTGATCATTTTGGAGTCCTGCAGGATGTCCGGCTGAAAGAAGATTAAGAAAACTATCATTATCTCATAGATAAATGCTCTCACACATCAAAAGCTCCCTGTTGTAGTTTTGCAATGTATAAATATATTTCAGGACAAGAAGACTCACTTTCAGTGTCTTCAGAAACTCACAGCATATCCATAAGATGTCTTTAATTTGTTTTATCCACAAAAGTGTAAGGTCTTTGGACAGTGCAAGAGACACAAACCACACTACAAGACAAATAATGGTTAACAGTACCTATACATACACGACTCTTTACCATGTATAATACGCAGATCTATTATTAGATACAATGAACAAGAATAAATGTGTGCTGTGCTGTTGCTGTGAGTGAATGACTTTGATATGTACAGCACACATACTTTATACAAACATTATAATATATAGAAATAGAAACAACAAAGAATATTTATGAGTTTAATGTTCTGCAATCTGAAAGTCTAAAACGACAGCAAAAATCTTGATATGATTTTCATAAAAAATTTAAACGGTACCATTTTATGGAAAATATTCTTCTTGTAGTAAAATGTTACAGAATGTACATTCTGTAAAGGGATCATTGTATTACATTGTTCATCCCTTTCTGTTATGTGTGTGTAAATTTGGGGGACATCTTAACATTAACTAAAACAATCTAGGCCTCATGCTAAGAACATAAAAAAAAAAACCTTAAAAAATGCAGCTTATACTGTGTTTTCTTCTTTTATACCTGTAAAAGCACCTCTGTGTTTGCCTTTGTGGCCATGCGTTTACAGGCGTATTTAAAGAGGTTAAAAAAAAACAAAACAAATGCGTGTTCTGAGAGAAGTGTTTAAGCAGAAAAACACGGCATGCACGCATATGTGCGTAAATGTATTACAATGGTTAGAATAAATGTACATTCTGCCCAGTAAAATGTAATTACACGGGTGTATATAGATGTGTATATATATTGTAAAATTTGAGTCATTTTTTTCCTGTCAAATTCTGGCAGAAAAAAAATGCTGCTTATTTACATAAGCCCAAGCTCATCACATTTTAAAAAGAATTTTGAAACTAATATTGGAGCAGCTATATTCTGAGGAAGATTTAAGGTCTGGGTTTATGCGCTTTTGCGTAGGCCAGAACTGCTTCTCTTCAGATACAAGTTAACAGCAGTGATGGTGTGTTTGGATTAGGATCTGAACTCACTTGTGCAAGCCAGTCAGAAAGCTGTCAACTACACTGGTCAATCATCTGCAGACAGGGCATTCCCCCTACTACAGAGCTGCACATATACACGTGGGTTCAGATCCTAGTCTGAACAGTCTGAAAGCATCACTGTTGGGGGAGGGGGCTTTTACATTTTTTATTATTTTTGTTTGTTTTATCTTTATCTAATTTTTTAACACTTTTATTTAACATTATTGCCATCACAAGGGGGGTAGCAAGCCCCCTTAAGTGATAGCATGGCAAGGTGACAGATTCTCTTTATGGAGACATCAGGGATCTAGAAGACCCCAAATGTCTCCCCCAAATCAAGCACTGCTTCCCCAGCCACAGTAGCCCATTTCCAGGACCATAAAAAGCGATCGGACTGCTTTAGAGCCATCTAGATCACTTTTACTCAAATGTTGAACATTGGCTGAAAAAAAATTCCTGTTGTGTTTTACTGCCAATGGAGACTCTGTTGGAGAGGTTTCCTAACTACCTTTCCAGTAAAAATGTTCTCCTCAGGACAGGAAGTGAGGGGAACGCCTCCTGACAGCAACACAGAAGTAAAAATGCTTTTTTGGGGATGTGTTAGAATCAGTCAGATTTTTTTTCCCAAATACTTTTCTATTAAAGTTTTCAACTTTAGTTTTGCCTTCAGCAAGTGAAATGAATGCTCAATTGGGTTGAGATCAGGTGATTGACTTGGCCATTGCAGAATATTCCACTTCTTTTCCTTCAAAAGCTCCTGGGTTGCTTTTGCAGTGTGTTTTGGATCATTGTCCATCTGTGCTGTGAAGCGCCATCCAATCAACTTTGCTGCATTTGGCTGAATCTGGGCTGACAGTATATCTCTAAACACTGCAGAATTCATCCGGCTGCTTCTGTCTTTTGTAACATCATCAATAAACACCAATGACCCAGTGCCACTGGAAGCCATGCATGCCCATGCCATCACACTGCATCCACCATGTTTTACAGATAACATTATGTGCTTTGGGTCATGAGCTATTCCAAGCCTTCTCCACACTTTTTTCTTCCCGTCATTCTGGTACAGATTCATCTTAGTTTCATCCATTCAAAGAATGCTTTCCAGAACTGGTCTGGCTTTTTTAGATGTTTTTTGGCAAAGTCTAATCTGACTTTTCTATTCTTCAGGCTTATGACTGGTTTGCACCTTGTGGTGAACCCTCTGTATTTGCTCTCATGAATTCTTCTATTGATTGTAGACTTTGACAATGATACGCTCACCTCCTGGAGAGTGTCCTTCACTTGTCTGGATGTTGTGAATGTTTTTCTTTACCATACAGAGGATCCTGCGATCATCCACCACTTTTGTCCTCCGTGGACGTCCATGCCTTATTATGTTGCTGAACTCACCAGTGCGTTCTTCTTTCCTCAGAATGTACCAAACTGTTGATTTAGCCACTCCTAATGTTGCTGCTATCTCTCTTATGGATTTGTTTCATTTTTGAAGCCTTACAATGGCCTGTTTCACTTGCATGGGCACCTCATTTGAATGCATGATATAGGTTCACAGCTACAGATTCCAAATGCAAATACCACACTTAGAATCAACTCCAGAGCTTTTACCTGCTTAATTGATGAAAAAATAATGAAGGAGTAGCCCACACCTGGCCATGAAACAGCTTTTTATTCAACTGTCCAATTACTTTTGGTCCCTTGAAAAAGGGGGGATGGCTACTCTTAAGATCTGTAATTCCTAAACCCTTCCTCCAATTTGATGTACATACCCTCAAATTAAACCTGAGAGTGTGCACTTTCAGCCCATATCCATTCTATAACTATAGCTTGAATATGTTTTGGTAAATGCCTAAACAAAATCTAAAATTGTGCCTGTGTCCAAATATATATGGACCTAACTGTATCTCTAAGGAGGGGTCAAGGCAAAAAACAACAACTAACATTGTAGTATACACATGGATGCAAGCGCTAAAGGGGGCAAACCTAGAGTCTGAAGCCAAGTGTCCCAAATCTTATTACATTTAGAGGGAATTCCTCTCTGTCTCAGAATGTGTTTCTCTTTCAACAAGGTAGAATTAACATTTGTCCTCCACTCTTCAAATGTAGGGGGTGCAGATGCAAGCCACTTTAACAAAATGCATTTATATGCTAAGAACAGGAGCCTAGTAATAGTAGTTCTGACCTGAGGAGCATTTAGTTCCTCGTCCAGATACCTAGTATGCATGCAAAGGAGTCGTTAGGTAACATCACTTTAAAAGCCCGGTTGATGGTATCAAGAACAATGCTCTAGTATCGTACTAGTTTGGGGCATTTCCAAAACATATGCAGAAGATCTGCTGAAGCCTCTCCACAGCGAGGGCAGTTCAGGGTTGTTCTGTGGTGCCATTTAAACAACTTATGAGGCGTTCTATAAGCTCTATGTATAAGGAAGAGTTGTGACAATCTCTGTGTGGAGGGATAGATACCAAGGGGACCAGTTCTAGAGTTGTATTCCAATGTTCTCCATCTAACGTAGAAATGTTTAAAGACAAGCCATGTCTGCCCGGTACCCTGGAGGCCACTCAAGAGAGATTGATATAATGAGGAAATAAGACCTATCTTATTGGTAGTAGAAGCTATAAGTGATCAATGAGTGGGGTTTGAATCAGTGAAAGGACTGTCGTCTTGCCTTGCACAGCTAGCACATGACATACCTGAAGATTCTGAGAAAATCTACAATAAGGGATATTAAATTCCTTCCATAAATCCGTAAAAGGATTTTAGTGGATTATCCTTGTATAGCTGGTGTATATAAAGAACAGCTCTAGAGGACCAGCCTTCAAAGCCCTGTAATTTACCCAACTCATCCAGTCTTCCTCCCTCCCACATGTGGTGATATCTTGAGATTACATCATATCTCATGATATGCCTCATCTCATCCCAAACCATAACCATGAGTATAAATATGGGGTATTGTGGACAGCTCCAAAACCCCCCTGCAATCAAATGATATGGGGTCCTTTAAGAAAACAATATATATTGAATGGGATCCTTCATATAAGAATGCCCCACCCAGAGAGGAGCTGCAATTGTGAAGCTAAAAAGTACGTTTTGGCAGATGGAACTGTCAAATTTTAAATATCTGTTTCCCAGTTGCAGATTTTCCCTCACTTCTTGTCTGGTAAACGCTGTCCCCAAAAGAGAAAGTGAGGGGGAAAACCCTTACAAAGCCCCGGGATGAAATCTGACTGACATATATACTTTAAACACAGGCATAAGAAATGATTTATTAAAAACAGAGAACAGAAAAGAAGCACAAAACAAAAGCTGTTGCCTACTGTTTAATTTTGCCAAAAAATGAAAAAAGAAATATGACTGGTTGTCATTTACAACAACTCCAATTTTCTACATGTTTTATTTTCTCAAGTTCCAATAAATCAGCTACAATGTGTCATGATAGTATCAATACATAGAATACATACCTTGGGCTCATTCTCACACTCCATACTGTTAAGAATACAGCGGCAAAGTTTTTCAAATCTCTGTAAAATTACAATATATGTGTAAGATTACAGATACAGATGAGGAGAACAAACTTGTAAATAAACACATTCAACAAGAAAATAATTAATAATTCTTACTAAGAAGCACCATTTACCACAATCTTTCTCTTGTTCTGGGCTAGAAGAAGCTGCTGATCTAGAGTCCTGTGTCTCTGTAGCAGGGGTTGGTGCACATTGCTGGGGCACTGCCTTGTAGATGCTAGAATTGGACCATTATTTCTGCCATGCTTGGCTGCTTGCTCTGCCTGATTTTCACAATTTTAGATTGTGAAAAGTGCTCTGGAGGTGGTGCAGAGGGTGGGGGTGTCATAGGAGTTATGCAGGATGTTGAGTAAGATGGGGCAGGGGTTTGAGAGCAGCAGCACTTCGAGTCCATTTATTCCATCCATGCCTCCCAGTTTGCAACACGCTTTCGTCCCCTAGACCTGGCCCTTACAAAGGTTCTCACAGGTTCACCGAGAGTATGCTTTCTGATGCACAAATTGCATAACTTTGTTTCTTGTATCACTAAACACATTCAAAGCTTCCCTGACATATCTGAATATGATAGGTGGTTGTGAAAAATGTTTCAGGAATACCTGTGTGCATCTTAAGACTGAATTTTCTGTTTTGAATTAAATATACCCCATGTAATTTTTTTTATACTATCCTATTCAACCTAACAGTACCTGTTCTTAGAGGTTATTGTCTGCTCTATTCTGCCCCTTTTTTCATGTCACAGCTCTCTAGCCACTTCTAGATGGCACTTGTGAAAACTCAGTGTAAATATTAACTTTACCTCCTTTCACTTCTTTCATCTGACCTCAAGAAAGAGACTATGGATAATGCCATTGTATCCAGGCAGGCTAAGCAGGCTTTGAAGGCAAATTGAAGGCAAATTTTACACAGAGTTTTCTCAGCTGCTGTCTAAAGGTTGCTATAGAGCTGTGACATAAGATATGGAGAAATAAAGAGCTCACAACAGCCTCTATGCACACATTCTTTTAGATAGGATAGCAAAAGGAATTGCAAGGGCCACTTCAGAATCTGACAATAGTGGTCTTGCCCTATTGTTACTTTTTTGAGGGGGATTTAATAAATATTTAAAAGCTCAGTGTTGCCTTTTTTTTGTATGAACAAGACTAAAAATAAAAATTTTTTTAAAAAGTTTTTTTTTCCAGATAAATTTTTAAAAATGGGATTGGTATACTCATCATAACATCCTTTTTTGGAGTTCACTGAGGGACACAGGAAGTCTTAAACCATTGAGATATCCTGTCACCTACTGGAAGATTGAACACTGGCAAACAAAAAAAACTGTACGCTAGTTTCTCCTACTACCGGCATGCCCCAGTTTAGTAGCAAGAAAGTACCAAGAGCATGATTATGAACACAGAGAAGTGAAACCTATGTCCCTTAATGGGCTCCAAAAAAAGATTTTACAGTGAGTACGAGAATACGTCTTTCTCACCCATAGGGGAACAAAGTAAGTCCTAAATCTTCAGGACATCCAATGTGGTCCAACTGAGGGGGTGACTTGCTGCAGTTTAAAGAGCCACCTGATGGACCTTACACCTGAAGCTGGTATCAGATGAGGCAGAAAGGCCAACATGATAAAGCGTAGAGAATGAGTGAACAGAAGGCCAGTTGGCAGCCTTACAAACCTGAGAAACAGAAGCCTGATGCCGAAAACCCAAATCATGCCTCACAGACCTGGGGGCAGAGGTAAAGAGGATATGACTGGAGGAGACATAAGGAAAATTCCTTGCACAAAAGTCTTGGAAACCAAGGGTCTCTGAAACAGAATGGCAACTGCAGAGCTCTGTCCCTTGATGGCACTAAGGACCAAATGGTCAAGACCCACCTGCAGAAAAGAAAGGAGGTGTACCACAAAGAAACTCCTGGGGTGAAAAGCCTGAACTCAAACCAGGCAAAAATGCCTTCCATGTATGATGTTATGTGGAATATAGACTACTTAGCCTTTAACATCCATGCCATTAAAGACAGCAACAGAGAAAGGCTGGTAAATTGGCCCTTGAGACAATCAATTTGAGAACCATCAGAATACCTTCCACCTCAATCCTGCAAAGGAGTCAGAGAAAAGAAGCATCATGGAAGGAAATAATATGATTGCACTTATTTCTTGGAGCTACAAGTGCATCTACTGCTTCCGCTGGTGAATCCCTGGACCCAGATACAAACCAGTCCAGTTGAATTTGGAGGCCAGGAAGTCTATATCCAGTGTCAAATGAAGCTACCAGAAATGGAAGGTCATACAGCTCTTGGCCTGGAGTGCATGAAGCTGAGATTAAAGAGTCTAAATTTTGCTAAAGAAGGAACACCCTGATTCAGTAAGTGTCCCTGACCAGCTCCAGATATTTCACATGATAGGACACCAAAAGAGAGGCTAGACTTTAACACTAGAGGACAACATGATACAAACACCAAACTGATAGACTGTACAGGGTATACTAGATACAGCAAGACTTTCCCAAAGCATCTAGCAAGTTGTAGATGCAGTAAACAATGTACAGGTTCAAGCTAGAAGGCTATGCCTCATGACTCATGGAACCAGGACAGCTGCTAGCTGACAGAAAAAAACTCAAGACCAGAGAGCTGGGCAGTAGGAACAGGTCAGGGGTCAAAGTTCCACATGGCTCTTATAGCAGAAGCAGAATTGGGAAGATGCTTTACCTATGCTGTCTGGAAAGAAGGAGGCTGCAAAGTATGTGTGCTAGACACTCCACCCAGTGGAATGACATCAGCTCTCAGTCTTACAGCATACAAATTAGATGCCTAGTAGCCAATAGAAATGATGGGGCTCCTGATCCCTGGCCTGAATGGCCTACTCATTGCTAACAGTTCTGGACCTGGAAAGCGCTTCACAGCTAACATAGCCAGAACCTGTTCAGTGCTTGGGCAAACCCTGTTGCCCAAGGGTCATTTCCAGTCTCACATGCAATGTTTAGTTCAGTGGGGCTTGGTATCAGAAAGAGCAAAACAAAGGCTGAAGGCAACTGCACTGGGTAGCTGTGATAAGGAGAAGAGACCTGCATCAGCTACAAGGAACTGAATCTTAACTGAACAGAAAAAATAGCTGCTAGAAAAAAATATTGGGAAAGACTTGAATTAGCAGAGCTAAAAAAAAAAAAAAATGTCCATCCTCTTAGGACACTCATAAAAAAACGGAGACTTCCGGGTAGCAGGAGGATTATACTCAGGGCTGGCCTACTGTTTTATTTCCACTGTCCAATCCTCCAATGGACAGCAGTGTAACTCGAAGGTTTAAGACTTAATGGATGACAATGAAGTGCATATTTCTATGATGCAGTCTTCTATCCTGCCTGCAGGTGGAGCTATAACCTCTAACATACTTTCACATACTGTATGTAAGCATTTTCTGCATACTGCATTGCCTGCAGCTATTTACAATTCCGGGATATAGTATACAGGTAAAACTCAAAAAATTAGAATATCGTGCAAAATTTCATTTATTTTAGTAATGCAACTTAAAAGGTGAAACTAATATATGAGATAGACTCATTACATGCAACGCAAGATAATGCAAGCCGTGATTTGTCATAATTGTGATGATTATGGCTTACAGCTCATGAAAACCCCAAATCCACAATCTCAGAAAATCAGAATATTGTGAAAAGGTGCAATATTCTCGGCTCAAAGTGTCAGTTACAGTTGCACGTTTGCGGACTTAAAAAAAAAAAAAAAAAAAAAATTCTAGGCTCAAAGTGTCCCACTCTAATCAGCTAATTAAGCCTTAGATTGTACACCCCTTGAGGGTTAGGGACTGATGTGAATGTACAATATATATATGTGTAAAAGCACTGCGTAAAATTGACGGCGCTATATAAGTACCTGAAATAAATAAATAAAATAACACATGCAAAGGGTTCCTGAGCCTTTAAATGGTCTCTCAGTCTGGTTCAGTAGGAATCACAATCATGGGAAAGACTGCTGACCTGACAGTTGTGCAGAAAACCATCATTGACACCCTCCATAAGGAGGGAAAGCTTTAAAAGGTAATTGCAAAAGAAGTTGGATGTTCCCAAAGTGCTGTATCAAATCACATTTATAGAAAGTTATGTGGAAGGGAAAAGTGTGGAAGAAAAAAGGTGCACAAGCAGCAGGGATGACCGCAGCCTGGAGAGGATTGTCAGGAAAAATTGTTGGAGACTTTCACAAGGAGTGAACTGAGGCTGGAGTCAGTGCATCAAGAGCCACCACACACAGACGGATCCTGGACATGGGCTTCAAATGTCAAGCCGCTCCTGAACAACAAACAACGTCAGAAGCTTCTTACCTGGGCTATAGAAAAATAAACCTGGTCTGTTGCTCAGTGGTCCAAAGTCCTCTTTTCTGATGAGAGCAACTTTTGCATCTCATTTGGAAACCAAGGACCCAGAGTATGGAGGAAGAATGGAGAGGCACACACTGCAAGATGCTTGAAGTCCAGTGTGAAGTTTCCACAGTCTGTGTTGATTTGGGGAGCCATGTCGTCTGCTGGTGTTGGTCCACTGTGCTTCATTAAGTCCAGGGTCAACGCAGCCATCTACCAGGAGATTTTGGAGCACTTCATGCTTCCTTCCGCAGAAGAGATTTATGGGGATGCTGACTTCATTTTCCAGCAGGATTTGGCACCTGCCCACACTGCCAAAAGCACCAAAACCTGGTTCAATGACCGTGGGATTACTGTGCTTGACTGGCCAGCAAACTCGCCTGATCTGAACCCCATAGAGAATCTATGGGGCATTGCCAAGAGAAAGATGAGAGACATGAGACCAAACAATGCAGAAGAGCTGAAGGCCGTTCTTGAAGCATCCTGGTCTTCCATAACACCCCAGCAGTACCACAGGCTGATAGTTTCCATGCCACGCTTCATTGAGGCAGTAATTGCTGCAAAAGGGGCCCAAACCAAGTACTGAGTACATATGCATGCTTATACTTTTCAGAGGTCCGATATTGTTCTATGTACAATCCTTGTTTTATTGATTGCATGTAATATTCTCATTTTCTGAGATTGTGGATTTGGGGTTTTCATGAGCTGTAAGCCATAATCATCACAATTATGACAAATCACGGCTTGAACTATCTTGCTTTGCATGTAATGAGTCTATCTCATATATTAGTTTCACCTTTTAAGTTGCATTACTGAAATAAATGAACTTTTGCACGATATTCAAATTTGTCGAGTTTCACCTGTATATACACACAGTACATCATTTGAGCAGAGTTTTTTTTTTAGAATTCTGCATTCAGTTCCTTTATATACAGCATCACGCACAGAAAACATGTTTCAAGGCAGAAAAAAAAAACCTACCACTCTGTCCTCCTGTAATCGGAATATTATCAACAGTTTACGAGCTATTCGAAAAACAGAAAGAGCATTGGTCTTGACTGTTCCATTTTCTGGGCCTTCTAAAAAGACATCCACTTCTTGTCTGTGCTCAGCAGAAAACAAACAGAACCAAAAGATTTTATAGTTGTTATAATACACTCCATATTACACACTGGCTTATCCTAGAGCTTCTTTTTTTTTGTTATGGTTTTTATTGCCATATGTAATGAATAATGCTACAAAAAAAAAAAAAAAAAAACAATATACAGGTGGCATATTCCAACACAAATATTAGACAATGCACAGCAGGATTACAGTTCAATACCAGCCATAACATATATGTTTCTTACTATGCCTCCACCACACTCCCAAAATATAAAAGGAAAAGGGTACAAGGGATCTCAGACAATGCAGCATACAGTTGCAAGAAAAAGTATGTGAACCCCTTGGGATTACGTGGAGTTTTGCATGAATTGGGCATAAAATGCTCTGAACGTCATCTAAGTCACAACAATAGAAGAACACAGTCTGCTGAACATAATACTACACAACATTAGATGTTGCCATGGTTTTATTGCACATAACATGTAAACATTCACAGTGCAGGGAAGAAAAAGTATGTGAGGCCCTAGTTAATGACTTCTCCCAGAGCTAATTGGAGCCAGGAGTGAGCCAACCTTGACTCCAATCAGTGTGATGATATTGGATGTGTTGCTGACAGCTGTCCTGCCCTTAAAAAACACACACCTGTTTTGGGTTTACTGGTTTCAAGAAGCACTGTCTGATGTGAACCATGCCTCGCAGAAAAGAGCTCACAGAAGACCTACGATCAAGAATTGTTGACTTGCATGAAGCTGGAAAGGGTTACAAAAGTATCTCCAAAAGCCTTGATGTTCATGTGTCCATGGTAAGACAGACTGTCTACAAATGGAGAAAGTTTAGCACTGTTGCTACTCTCCCTAGGCGTGGTCGTCCTGTAAAAATGACTGCAACAGCACAGAATGCTGCATGAGGTAAAGAAGAATCCTACAGTGTCAGCTAAAGACCTACAGAAATCTCTGGCACATGCTAACATTTTTGTTGACACATCTACAATAAGGAAAACATTAAACAAGAATGGAGTACATGGGAGGACACCTTGGAGGAAGCCATTGCTGTCCAAAAAGAATATTGCAGCACGTTTGAAGTTTGCAAAAGAGCACCTGGATGTTCCACAGCACTACTGGCAAAATATACTGTGGACAGATGAAACCAAGATTGAGTTGTTTGGGAAGAACACACAACACTATCTGTGGAGAAAAAAAGTCACAGCACACCAACATCAAAACCTCATCCCCACTGTAAAACATGGCGGAGGGAGCATCATGGTTTGGGGCTGCTTTGCTGCCTCAGGGCCTGGACGGATTGTTGTCATTGATTGGAAAATGAATTCCAGAGTTTATCAAGACATTTTGCAGGAAACCGTATGACCATCTGTCCGCCAACTGAAGCTCCGCAGAGGATGGGTGATGCAACAGGACAATGACCCAAAACATACAAGTAATTCAACAAAACAATGGCTGCAACAGCACAGAATACGCCTTCTGGAGTGGCCCACTCAGAGTTCCTGACCTCAACCCGATTGAAATGCTGTGGCATGACCTTAAGAGAGAGATTCACACCAGACATCCCAAGAATATTGCTAGACTGAAACAGTTTTGTGAAGAGGAGTGGTCCAAAATGACTCCAGATCGATGTGCAGGTCTGATCTGCAACTACAGGAAACGTTTGGTTGAGGTTATTGGTGCCAAAGGAGGGTCAACCAGTTATTAAGTCCAAAGGTTCACATACTTTTTCCTCCCTGCACTGTGAATGTTTACAAGTTATGTGCAATTAAACCATGGCAACATCTAATGTTTTTGTAGTATTATGTTCAGCAGACTGTGTTCTTCTATTGTTGTGACTTAGATGACGTTCACAGCACATTTTATGCCCAATTCATGCAAAAACTCCACGTAATCCCAAGGGGTTCACATACCTTTTCTTGCAACTGTAGTACTGTTACCAACATCACATATAGCTTTTCTTTATATTCAGTCTTGATATACGCAGAGAAGAATCATAAAAGAACGGAACAGAAAAAAACAACAATACCAAAAAAACAGACAAAGATTCAAAAACATTCCAGAGTGTACCAAAGTCCATCCCAATCCATGTGTCAAAAAAAAAACAAAACAATGTCATATCCCAGAAATACCCTAGGTAGGCAGGAATGTTGGTCACCCAGAGCCCCCACTTGCACAGGGGTTTACATCTAAACAAAACATTATTTCCCTATGGATTTTCTACCACCGTGTCTGATGAATCCATCCACCTGTACCATCTTCTTCTCAATGTTTTGGACACCCCCTAGCCTCATATGTCATCTCATATGATGGGATGTCCAAATTAACTAGTTTTTTCCATGCCGCTAAGCTCAAGAGTATTAGTAACCATAGGGCTTTTTTCAAAAGAAAGAATAAAAGTACCTGATTTCTCTCTGCAGCCGACATCTGCACAGGAAACGTCTAATAAGAGCCTGGATTTTTATTGCAGCCTTCTCTCGTTCTTTGAGGCCTTTCCTCTCTTCACGTGCCTGCCTTGCCTTGTCTAGAAATTGTGCCTTTGTAGCCTGTGATGCCCCAAACATTTTTTATAACTGTGGAAAAAAAGCCATAACATTTAGTCAAACAATGTTATTACCTGATTAAAGCAACTCTGTTGCCTTCTTTTTAAAAAATTAATAATACTTACCTGTCTGGCAGATGGTCACTCCCACCTTTGCTTTCCTGAAGAGCTACATCCACCAATGTATCTTCAGCATCCAATATATGTCAGGTTGTGTTGGACTCCTGGCCCCCACTGGGAATTTTTGTTCTAATAAAAAATTGCAAACATACAGCTCTAATATGAACATATTAACATACAGTATATACAAAATAAATACATACATATATACAAAACAAAATATAAGCTTACATCAGCATAGAAAACAAAAAAAGAACAGCGATTTCCCAAAAGAAACATAAAAAAGGAATATACAAACTCATATTACTTTTATTATTAACAACAACTAACATACACATATGTGGTATTGCTGCAATCGCCAGAAGCAGGAGAATTAATTTTGGGTTGTTCTTTCATGGTAGGTTATGGTAGTAGAAAGAAATGTACAGCTAAATTGAAAAAAAAAATGTTTTTTTCTATACTATTTTGGGCCAGTTCTCCCTTGGTAATTGACCTGGCTGCACAAAGTAGTTGTGATGATATGTACAGTTTTTCTAACACATGTCAAAGTTGCAAAATTTTGCTTAAGCATTAACATTTGTTTTACCCTTAGGTTAAAAACCTGGAGTGTTTGCAATCTGTAAAGAACCCATTAATTCCTGTTCTATCAAGAAATTCCTGTTCTCTTAAAATACTATGGCATGTTCTGAAGCAAGCCATTAAAAGAACCACATCGCAAAATAATAATAAAACTAGCTGCAAAAGTATAGTATATTGGAACTAACCAAACTAGATTTACGCTATTGAGTTACAATGCCCAGAAAATTACCACATAATTTACAAGTGCCTTTACAAGCACTTTAATATTATTATACAAGAATTATGTTGTGCTAACATTTTGTGCTGAGCTTTACAATGCAAAGGGACACATACAATTCAACACAAGAGGGTTAGGAGGGCCCTGCTCCGAAGAGCTCACAATCACTTTAATGAATAAGTTCACCTTTTATAATATGTAACACCCATATTCACGTTACAAAAGGACTGCCCCGCATCCCCTGTTTTGGCAGCCAGCAGGGGACCTTCCCCCCCCCATTTGATGTCACAAATTTTAAAAAACTTGGTCGTGTCGTGTTCAGTATTTTGTGAAATTATTTGTGAAAGTATTATGTTTGGGACTACAAGTCCCGACAGCCTTTTGCAGCTGTCGGCTTGTAGTTCTCAATGAGCTACCACAGCGCTGCAGAGCAAAAAATGTGCACTGATTACTTTTTGTTACTTATCCTTTAAGTCCAAGTAAAAATGGTGGATAACAGCTTTGATTAAAGTGATAAAACCTCTGTTTTAATCATCTTCAGCAGCTGATTTAACCACTTAAACCAGCCATAGATGGTTAGAATCTCAGCTGGTTCATCAACTGACTTGGGTAAAATTAGCGTGTTGGATTTTTACATACGAAAATAAATATATATATATATATATATATATATATATACACAATTATAGCAACAATTATTGAGTTCTCTTCTCCCTGCACCCCGGGAGAACATGATAGCTCCACGGGAGGGATTCCACCATCAACACTGACTGTGTTGATGGGGTAATTGAGCAATTTTCTTTCCTGCAATCCGCGGCTGCAGGAAATAAAATGGCCTCATCCGTGGCCTGCTTTACTGAGTATGCAGATTTTTCTTTTAATCTTTGCCCACATTCCAGTTTAAAGGATAAGTCCACCTTTGGGAACATGTTACATGTTCCACCCATTTTCAGGTTCTTCATGTAACATGTTCCCATATACTGCAGCCGCCGCCCTCCCTCTGACAGTACTGGGATTCTTCTCCCCATACTATCTGTCAAATTTGATACCAGCGTGGAAGTGCTCTGCCCCCACGGCCACATCATTAATTCAAGAACTTCCATGAATTAATGACCTGCAAGACTCGACAGCCTTAGAGGCTGTGGGCTTGTAGTTTTCAATGAACTGTGGAGGGCCATGGTAGTTCAATGAGGCTTCCTGTCATAATATCTGCTTGCTTGTACATCCCATATGGCTGATATTGTGACAGGTCTGCAGGAGACCTGCATGGCATCTACTGATCACTGGTGCAATGCTTTCCAGGCTCCTCTGGAGAAAAATAATAAATGCACATTTTGTACCTGCAAAAAAAATGCTTTTTTTTTTTTTGTCTAAAAAGGTGAACTTATCCTTTAACTTGGTGTCATGACAGCTACCCTGGGTTTCCTGTCTCAGGGGGGCTCCTTTCTCTTTCAGTTTTCTACGGAGCCACCCTTGCATGTATTATCATTATTATACAGGATTTATACAGTGCCAACAGTTTGCGCAGCGCTTTACCATATAAGGGAGACAGTACAATTACATTTCAGTACAGAAGGAATATGTAGGAATTAGAATTGTCTCCCTACACTGTGTGCATCAATAGAAACACATAGTCCCATATCCTGGAATGCAAGGCGCTCCCCTGTTCCTTCTTCCCTGTGGGCTGGCTGGAGCATACACTGTCCACTGTTAATGCTTTCCTATGAAGACCGGAAGTTCTGAGAAGCAGCTCTGAGAGATCAGGAGCCAGCAGCAAATTAAAGTTGTAAACTGCAAGTCCTGGGGTAAGAATTTTACCAAATATTTTACTGGGGAATGTTTATTTGATTGTGCTCAATGTGTTACACTAAGGGTTTAATACTTCCTGTTGGGTCTTTGTTTGCTTCAGATGGGTTTTGCATCTCCTTACAAGTCCATAGGGATGCAAAACCAGCTTGAACCAGCCAATGGATTCTGAATGATCCCAGAAAAGTCTCAAACTGATATCATGGACCCAAAGCTGTGTAATCTCAGAGCCCACCTAAACAACCCATTCCGTTTGTAACCAATCAGGCAGGCCCTCATACTATAAAGCTGTTACTAGAGAGACACATCCACCTTGCACTGGGTGTGGTCAGCTCAGGTCTAGGTTCTCACCTGTTCATGTAGAATCAAGCAGTCCCCTGCACTCTATAAGCCATTGTCTGGTACAGTCCAGGAACCAGTGCCATCAGTCCTACAGTGCAAGTGTGTGATGACTTCCCTGTAATGAAAGCCCAACTTTCACATCATTGAAGACCACCTGTCCTGTCTAATCCCCACTCCTCTACAGCAGCAGGAGAGTAGGGGTTAATGACAGCTGACTGGCCTGCCCTGTATAGCTGAGGCTGAATAAAGAGCTCTGGGAAGGCCGGGGTTAGGGGTCAGAAGGGGGTGTCTAACCTTAGAAATGTCCTAGATCTCCCAAAACAAGAGCCACTCCCGGCTGCACACAACAACTCCAGCTGCCTCTCATCGGACTGTTTTCGTCAGTGCACAAAGTGAGGGCGGAAATACGTCAGAGAACACAAAAACTGAACTGGCATAGCCTCCCGTTCCACTAATAGGAAGCGAAGTAGAAGCCATCATTGTTGTGGGCACAACTTCTAGTCAAAGTGACTTTATTCATAACTAACATTGCTGGGGTGAATAGTGATATATCTCTGATTAAACAACGGCTCTGATATGTCTATGAGACTCTATTTATTTGGTTTAGGTGTGTCTGCCGGCGTGTCCTTGTTTCGTCGTCATGCCATTATACCAAGCAGGAAGAGGGAACATTGCAAGTCCCGGGGGCTGAGGGGGAATGAATGTGGCGGAAGCGCGTCATTGACGGGCGGAAGCGTCTGAGCTGGACTGGGTGGCTCCCGATTTTTGGCCTGGGGGAAGTTTATCGGGGTTGATGGTAAGTATAGAGCCTTTTATTGATGTATTTCTGGTGACAGGGGTGGCTTGTTGGGAGGACAGCCGGCGTGTTTACCTGGAGCGGGGTCACCAGGTAAACCTCCTGTAAGTCATGGGAGGTGCTGGAGCAGCTGAGATATACAGCCCATAGTCATGAGCAGCCTGATGGTACATAGTGGTCCAATGGTGCTTGTGTGCACTGATATCCTGCTGGGCAGCTATAGTAAATACAGGGAAAGGACTGGAAGAGAAGAAGCAATCACCAATGACATATCCTTCCAGCATTTCAGGGAAGTACCAAGAAGATCCACTTTATACTGGCCATACATTAGACAGTGTACAGTGCATGGCACCCCTACTCCTTCCTTTCCCTAAGCCAAATCTCCATTAACCCCTTGCCTACAGAGCACTTGTACCCCCTTCCTGCCCAGGCCAATTTTCAGCTTTCAGTGCTGTCGCACTTTGAATGACAATTGCACGTTCATGCAACACTGTACCCATATGACATTGTTATAATTTTTTTTCACATAAATAGAGCTTTCTTTTGGTGGTATTTCATTGCCCCTGGGTGTTTTATTTTTTGCGCTATAAACAAAAAGGAGCAAAAAAATTTTTTTAAAAAAGTTTTTCTTTGTTTCTGTTATAAAATTTTGTAAACAGGTAATTTTTCTCCTTCACTGATGTGTGTTGATGAGGCGGCACTGATGATGTTGCACTGATGGGCGGCACTGACTGATGGCACTGTTGGGCACTGGTAGGTGGCACTGCTGGGCACTTGTGGGTGGCACTGATTAGCAGTGTCGATCCGTCCTCTGACAATTGCCAGTTATCGGCAGTACTTTCCTCACGGTGTGACAGCATGAGGAAAGTGCAGCCGATAACTGGCAACTGCATTTTTGATCTGCTGTGGCATTGGACACAGCTGATCACGTGGTAAAAGGCCGCTGTGATTGGCCTTTTACCACATCATGCCCTCCCAGAACTGGACAACTGCCAGGAGCGCGCGGTTGGCAAGGGGTTAAAGAGTTAACCGCTTGTTTGCCACCCTATAGTATAAGTACTGCAGCTGGGCTGTGCAAAACCATGTGTATATATATATGTGATTTTGTATTTCCGAGTAGGGGGGGCGTGCATGTGACACCCTAGCTGCGCTGCTGGGTCCCAGCCAGAGATTCCCTGCCAGCACCCGGCAATCGTCGGGCAACGTTGACATGGGACATCATGCTTTTGCCGGCATGGACATGCTGCTTTGTATTTCTTGGCACAGCAGAGAAATACATAGCAGCATGTTTCTCTAGTAAAGCACACACAGTACATCATGTAAAACAGCACACAGTTAACCCTTTGATCGCCCCTTCCTTCCCAGTGTCATTAGTACAGTGTCAGTGCTTTTTATTAGCACTGATCACTATATTAGTGTCAATGGGATGTCAGTGGCAGTTAGTCAATTCCCACCCAGTGTCCGAATGTCCGCCGCAGTCCCACTATAAGTCGCTGATCGCCACCATTACTAGTATATGTATGTGAGTGTGTATGTATAATATATATAATTCCAGTATATATACTGCCATTTGTAGATGCTATAACTTTCATGTAAACCATTTAATATACACTTATTTGGGATTGTTTTTGCAAAGACATGTAGCAGAATACATTTTGGCCTAAATTTATGAAGAAATTAGATTTTTTTAATTATTTTACTGGACATGCTTTATAGCAAAAAGTCAAAAATATATATATATTTTTTTTTTTTGTTTGTAGCGCAAAACATAAAAAACCACAGAGGTGATCAAATGCCACCAAAAGAAAGCTCTATTAGTAGGAAAAATTTTGTTTATGTACAGCGTTGCATGACCGCACAATTGTCAGCTAAAGTAATGCAGTGCTGTATCGCAAAAAATGGCCTGGTCATGAAGGGGGGTAAATCCTCTGGAGGGCAAGTGGTAAATTACCAAAAAACTGTCTATGCAGATAAGGGACATCTGAAGATAAAAACCAACTGTGCAACTTTGACCATAGTTGCTATAGGTGTAGACCATTTGCATACCTTATGAAGCCTGACTGAAAAACTCACAAAAATGGCATCATCCCATCCTGCCTTGTTGCTAGGATGTTGCTAAGACACTCCCAGACAATTAAACCCCCCTCACATGCTCTCTCTCTCCCCCCCCTTGTCCCAGTAGCTGTGAGTTCAGCAATACTGTGACAGAGGAGATAGTGGACAATACGGGTGGGGGTTTGAAAACTTGCTCCTGTGATAATGGGGTTGAGCAGTAACAGCTGGGAGTGTCTTAGCAACGTCCTAGCAACAAGGCAGGATGGGATGATGACATTTCTGGGAGCTTTTCAGCTAGGCTTGGGGAGTAAACATAAATGATCTACACCTAATAGTAAGGGCATTATCCAACTTTAGTCAAAACGGATCCATTTGTTTTTATCTGCAGGTAAACTAAACCTTTAAAGTGTAAGTTAACTTTTCACCCTTAATTTGGGTGTAACGTGCTCCAGACCTAACCCCCCCCCCCCCAATCCCCCTCCATTGGAGCCTTTAATATTGCTTTACCTTACCTAACCACCTCAAGATATCATTTGTATAACTTTAAGATCAAAATATCTATTGAACTTGAAATTTAGTACTGACAAAGTCGACGTTGCCAAGAGGGGGCCATCTTACTGTTCAAAATATAAATGCACCCCAGCAGTTCAAAAATGTTCCTCCATTATGTGCACTGGTATAAAGGTAATTAAAACCACTTTCTAGTTCATTACAGACTATTCTAAATGCCATATAAAACATTAGCATTCACTTTTCATATACATGAATTGTGTCCCTTTTGCTTGCAGGAAGAAATGTCAGGAGAGAGTGTGGTGAGTACTGTGGTACCAGCAGCTACAACCAGGACCACCTCATTTAAATGTGCCAGCACAAGTTCAAAGTATGTGAAGCTGAATGTAGGTGGTGCACTCTACTACACCACTATGCAGACACTCACCAAGCAAGACACGATGCTGAAAGCGATGTTCAGTGGGAGAATGGAAGTATTAACAGACAGTGAAGGTATAAAAGCACAAATCACATTTGCCTTGCTGTTGTTGTCAATGTTTTCCATAGTGCTGTGTGAATGAATTGTTGTGATACAGGTATTTTGTAATGAACAGAAAACTGTTTTTTTCATTTTTCAAACATTCTGAAAAAAAAAAAAAAAAAAAACACAAAGTTTGTTCAGATGTTATTCATAGACACTGGCGTTCTAACTGTCATTTTCCAGTGCTGACTTCAATCTTATATATTGTTTTTTTTTCATTGCATATACAGATCTTAGGCTCTATTTACACCTGAGCAGTTTGTATCTTAAAGCTCCAAAACGCTAAACATCCAAAATCCCAGGTATTACAATGGTGACTGTTAGTGCACAGGCTCCTGTAGCTTGATGTCTGAAGCTCCAAAAGTTATATGAGCTATTTTGAGGCAGATGTGGGCATTTGGCCCTATAGATTTCAATGGGAATGCCTGAAAAAGCTTAAATGAAGTGTTTTTTCAGGTGTATTTCAGGCATTTTCGAGCCTGTAAGAACTGGTCTTTCATGTTCCATGTTTTCCATTTGGCTTAAACAAAAATATCTAAAGCAGTGGAGCACAGTCTGCACTCTATTGGCTTCAGTAGATGGCAGGGGAGATATCAGGGGTCTAAAAGACCCCTGATATCTCATTAAAGAGAACCTGTCACAGTGTATATCTCATAGAGGACTTTGTCCCCTATGTGATACAAATATTTTTAGTGAAAACAGGCTCAATTCACAAAATGATTATTATTAGACAGGATTTATATAGCGCCAACAGTTTGCTCAGTGCTTTACAATATAAAGGGAGATAATACAGCAATGATACAGTTCAATACAAGAGGGTTAGGAGGGCCCTGCTCCTTGGAGCTTACAATCTAAGAGGAATGGTATCTACCACTTTTGGGTCAGTGGTAAAATAGCTTATAACGTTTTTCAAAAACTTTTTTGCAAATCACTAATTAAAGCTAAATTACTGCATACACTATTTCTTGAAGTGATGTTGTAGTTTAGTAGTGAAAACTTTTTTAGTATTATAACATCCGCACCCACCTTCGTCCTTAACAACCACTGAATAGCTGGTTAAGGAGTCCGCGCCCACCACGTCCTTAACAACCATGAGTCATCTGCCATCAGCGGGATTCCTCGCTGACAGCAGAATGTAAACTAAAGAAAAGTCAGCATTAAAAAAAAAACAAAAAAAAAAAAAACAGCATGGGGTCCCCTCAATCCATACTGTCCTCTTCTCCCTTCCTATCTACCCAGCCAATGGGCAAGCGGGGCCCCAGATACATAGTGTGGGGGGGTTGTACTTTACAGGGGTGTGTGGCGGGCGGCAGCGTAGCTGTCCGAATGCTTCCACTTGACAAGTAAACCCTGCTGCTTACTTGCAACAGGGCTAAATGTACAAAATAACTACCATCCCGGCGCCCAGAACTGCATGTCCCGGGCGTCAGGCGATATAAATTGCGCATCCCTCGATGATCTAGATCAGGGGTGGGCAAACTTTTTGACTTGAAGGCCGCAATGGGTTCATATATTGGACCCGGGGGCCGGACCAAGAGTAGATGAATGATGTGTATGTGTCATCCATAGTAAGTATAGTAATATTCCCCCATAGTAAGCATAGTAATTCATCCCCATATAGTAATTCATCCCCCCTATAGTAATTCATCGCCCCTATAGTAATTCATCCCCCCTATAGTAATTCATCCCCCCTATAGTAATTCATCCCCCCTATAGTAATTCATCCCCCATATAGTAATTCATCCCCCCTATAGTAATTCATCCCCCATATAGTAATTCATCCCCCATATAGTAATTCATCCCCCATATAGTAATTCACCCCCCATATAGTAATTCACCCCCCATATAGTAATTCACCCCCCATATAGTAATTCACCCCCCATATAGTAATTCACCCCCCATATAGTAATTCACCCCCCATATAGTGATTCATCCCCCATAGAGTAATTCATCCCCCATAGAGTAATTCATCCCCCATATTGTGATTCATCCCCCATAGAGTAATTCATCCCCCATAGAGTAATTCATCCCCCATAGAGTAATTCATCCCCCATAGAGTAATTCATCCCCCATAGAGTAATTCATCCCCCATATTAAGTCCCCAAGTCCCCCCTGTGTCAATTCACTTACCTTTGCTCCGCGCGTTCCTCTCGCCGTGTTCCCGCGCCGTTCCGGTCTTCAGGGCGGATTGTAGGAGGAGCCTAGCTCCCCTCACGTTCGTCACGCTGCCCCGCCTACACACATCCTGACAGCCATCCTGACAGTATCACGCTCTGCGGGCCGGATTAAAAGTTCCGCCGGGCCGTAGTTTGCCCATTGCTGATCTAGATCCTACGACAAGTAAGAGCCCTGTCTGCAAGATGCTTAATCCAAGTTTTCCATTTGCGTTCCAGAGTTGTTGCAACTAATGACTGTGCAGAAGTGTAATTTGTTTCAGTGCTGCTGTCATACCTTTTTGGTATTACTTTGAATAAGCTGTTTACTTGAATGGGGACAACGTGCTTTAAAGCGGTTCTAAACTCAAAAGGTTTTTTACCCTAATGCATTCCCTGCAGTAAGGTAAAAAAAACCCTTTGACTTGAAGTTTCTGCCCTTCCCCAAATACTTGAATCCTCTCTTGATCTAACACTGTGCCCATCTGCAACAGCACTGGTCTCTCTCGCTGCTTTCACAGGACAGACCAAGAACAATGGGAGCCATTGGTTCCTGCTGCTGTCAGTCAAATCTAGTGAGGAGGGAGTGGGAGGCATGACACATGACTTGCTATGGGGGCACACTCAAGAGGGGAGGAGTCGATAGTGCTAGCAGGGAACCCCAAAAGAGGGGATAAGGGGCCACTCTGTGCAATATCGTTGCACAGAGCAGGTAAGTATAACCTTTTTTTAGTTTAGGGGCAAAAAGTGAACATTTAGTAGCACTTTAAGGCTGGTAAGGCAGTGGGTAGGGGACAGCTATGTGGTGTCATACTACAGACATGTTTGTGGTGCCCAAGCATTTCCACTCCTATTATAAAAAGTCATACCTTTTGAATACTTGTATATACTATTTGTAATGATGTTATAAGGGAATTGAAAAGCCAATGTTTATTTATTTCCATTTTTGTAATTGGAGGAGCTGAACAACATATTTGTTGTGTTTTTTGCAGGTTGGATTCTAATTGATCGGTGTGGCAAACATTTTGGGACCATATTAAACTATCTGCGTGATGGAGCTGTTCCTCTTCCAGAGAGTCGGAGAGAGATTGAGGAACTCTTGGCAGAAGCAAAGTACTACTTGGTGCAGGGACTGGTAGATGAATGTCAAGCATCTCTCCAGGTAGAGTGTGTGCAGAGATCTCAGCACTGAGTAGCAAGAAGCAAAACTTAAGATTAAGACTTTTCACTTGAATTTTCATTGAAAATTCTATTCCTCTCTAGCCAGCTTAACTGAAATTGCATTCATAGTCAAGTTTTAAAATGTTATGGTTTATGGGAAGGGTGTTTCCTTTGTGAAGTTACTCAAAATAGACTTTCGTGTTGTGAGTTCTGTCTGTGTGCTGGCCTTATTCCACAAATCCTGGATTCCCTGCATGCTTTGCAGCTTCTCCTGTGCTGTTTGCATTCAGTTTTTTAAGAATTCGGTATCCCATGGTACCTTGCTGCCTGCAAACAGTGATTCCTATGCTGATTCTGCCTCCTGAAACTCCTCTCAGCACCTAAGTAGTTGAGAAAGAAGGCTCTTTGAAATGTGTACCACAGAAGTGTCTGCTCACAGGGCATAATGAATACATGTTGCAGAATTCAAAGAAACGTGTGGGCATCTTCACAAAGTATGTTTTAAAAACCTTAAGATCCTTCAAATTAATAGGAGTAGGCTATGGATAATTGAAATGCAATGTGGAAATGAATATATGATTTTAAATTTTGGAATTTTTTCCCAAATGGAAAACTTCATTTTGGGCTGTGGTCTCTAAAGTGAACTATGCAGAGTAAAAATCAGTAGTAAATGTAAAATGTTGGAGGGCAGTCTATCTATTGCATAATATGTTCTGATCTTGGGTCAATATTAGGACTGTGTAATGGTGCATGTGCAGTTTTTTTATGTGTGGCATGTAGTATCTTCAAGTCTAAAGCGTTCGTTAGCCTACACATTTTAACACTGATATCAGGGGGCTTTAATTTTAAATTCACCTGGGCCCTGTTATACCTGTGGGAGAAAAGCAGAAATGCCTGCATGCAAAAACACTAAAATCTTGTGAAGGATGAATTATATTCTTTTATAACTCACTGTGTTTTTATTTCAGCAGAATAAAGATGTGTATGAACCTTTTTGCAAAGTTCCTGTAATCACATCTTCAAAAGAGGAGCAGAAGCTTATTGCCACATCCAATAAGGTAAGAAAAAAATGAGTATACTGTCACATGAGAGTAAAATAAAAAAGGAAACCAGAGAATACATTTCTGTTCTCTCAATGTACAGCACGTTTAGTTGTACATTTGTAACAATACTGTTGCTACGTTTTTGTTGATGTAATATATAGCAAGTTCAGTATGCTTATGTATGGTCAGTGGCTGTTTTGAAAGGAACAGCCTCTATTTGGTTCATATTATCAACCTTATATTCATATACCTCTTGTTAGACATGCGTGAGCCAATGAGGAGAGAGAGTCCCGGGACAGCTGAGGCTCTCGTGCACATCGCTGGATCGAGTTGGGACTCAGGTAAGTATAAGGGTGGCTGTGTGGGGAGCTGCACCTAGGTTTATTTTACTCTTCTTCATGCATAATGATGACATATATTTCATATTAATAAAATGCTACAGTGAACAAGCAGCTGAACATTCAAGGAAACCACATAGAACCTTGTGAGAATAGCATAAAATATAAAATGCAGCGCTAATAGTCAAATGAAAAGTACCAGTAAAAATAATAAATGATCAATAATTGCAAGCAAAATAAAGTCCTGTGATGGTGCTCCCTGCGTTCCCAGTGCATATGGTATAAATGCGCACTAACCAGAGGCGTATTAGAAATACACGGTGTGTAAATATCCCGAAGATCCTCCCTCTCTCTAGTCAGAATATGGACTGGAATTGTTTTTGAACAATTGGGTGGTAATCATTTAGACATCTCACTGCTGATTTTCTGTGTACTGGAACACTAATAGTGGATTTAAAACAGCTTTCAACTTTCAGAGCCCTGCTGTGATCCACCTATCAGCTCCAGAGAGGGGAACGACCTGTAACCCAGGTTTCCTTACCCACATATCCCTTAAAGGGGATCTCTGACACCCCGGATCCATCTTCACCACATGAGGGCGCTTCATCTTTACTATCTCCAGTTCCAGTCCATATTCTGACCAGAGAGAGGGGGATATTTACACACCGCGTATTTCTAATACGCCTCAGGTTAGTGCGCATTTATACCATATGCACTGGGAACGCAGGGAGCACCATCACAGGACTTTATTTTTTCTTGCAATTATTGATCATTTATTATTTTTACTGGTACTTTTCATTTGACTATTAACGCTGCATTTTATATTTTATGATATATTTCATATTGCAATTCAAAAAAGGAGATTTTAAACTCCCACTATTGGTAAACCATATCGCCACCAATTATGTGGGAGCAACAGGGTATTTAATATCTCCACATTTAAAGTTACCCTTAAAGGAGGGCCAACTAATATTGCTTCTGCTCCCACTGCAGAACCAACTAGGGGGCATAAAACTGCCTAAGAACGGAGACCACTTTGACACAGTCCTAATACCTCTGAATAAAATGTTGCAATACACAATGTCATTGAATAGCACTGATAAATATTTTATTATAATAGATTTTACCTTGACCTGTACTCTAGGCCAGGGCTATTGAAATAAAATATACAGAGGTCAGATCAGTAAAATTTTCTTCCAGCAGAGGTCTGAATCGCATGTTTGTGTGAAGACTCAGATCCTTTCCATCACAGCCCCCCTATATATCTCAAGAAGATATCACAGTCCTATTCTTACAGTAGTGTCCTCAGTCCATGGCACACCACAGACTGCACTTCACAGTGGAATGAAGTGGAGGGAAGCCAGCAGTCCTATGAGTGTGTGGGTGGGGACCAGGGCAGCAGAAGGAAGGAGAATCTAGACTGGGAGAAACAGGGGCAACATTTACTGGATCAACAGCCTGTAGTTCACTCATGCAGCAGCTGTAGTTCACTCATGCAGCAGCTGAAAGACAGCGGGAGGGAGAGGAGAATCTGTCTTTCAGCTGCTGCGGGGGGGAACTACATGGGATCGGTTTCAGTAAATGCCGTCCCTCTTGTCCAGGTTCCCCTTCTGCTTGTCATTGGTTCAGCATACAAGTTGTTCCTTTTGCAACACCACTCTGCATATGTGGAAGAAGCAGTCTGGGGATCAGCAGGGGACACAATCTACCCATCACCTGCCTGCGATCGACTTTAAAGTATATCTTTATTAAAGGCATAGTGCAGGGAATTTTAAAACCTCTGGAAATGTTTTTTTTTTTTTTCTCCCCTTTTTTCTCCCCTCTATCTGTCTCATTGTAGAAATTTCCATTAAATTCTTGTCACAGAGAAACAGGAAGTGAGAGAAAATCTATACAATTATTATCCTTCTGTATTCACAACATGTAGTAGTAGAATTTGTTCAGCAGCCAAATACTTTGTCAGACTTGGAAGATACACCTATGTTGGCATAGGTGGATTTATTAAAGGGTAAGGCTGCATTGATTAAGGCTTTCCAAGCTTGTACTGTAGGTGCCAGAATAATGAGTTTTTTAGGCATTCACAAATAGTAAGTTAAACAGTGTCCTAATTGCTATGGTGGGTGCTAAATTATCAACTAATCCTAACAGGCAAACTTAAGTAATTAAAGAGTCTTCTGGGAGTTTCTTCTGATCTGTAGAGCTGCATCTGCTCCCTGCCTACCCTTTTATGTGAGATTTCCTTTAGGAAGTGTGGAAGAATGCCAATCATTGCTAGAACAAACAGAAAACAATTGTCCTCAGTGTCCTGTTCATGCTGCAGTGAGCTGTAATAAAATGTAGACATGCTGCATTTTAATATTTTTACTGAAAAACAAAATAAAGGCTGTATGTTTAACCCCTTCACGCCTAAGGGTAAAACAGATCTAAATGTCTAAGCACAATTTTGCAACAATGACATGTGTTAGTAAAACCGTACATATCATCACAACTACTTTGTACATCCAGGTGAATTATACCTTTGTTTTTTTCAGAACAAATTGAGCTTTCATTTGGTGGTAAATTGTAATGGATCTCTCCTGATTTTTTTTTTTTTTTAAATTTAGCTGTGTGTTTCTTGTTACTACCATAACCTACCACCAAAGAGCAACCCAAAATAACATTTCCAGCTCTTGATGATCGCAGTGATACTATACAGTGGGGCAAAAAAGTATTTAGTCAGCCACCAAGTTCTCCCACTTAAAAAGATGAGAGAGGCCTGTAATTGGCATCATAGGTAGACCTCAACTATGAGAGACAAAATGAGAAAAAAAATCCAGACAATCACATTGGCTGATTTGGAAAGAATTTATTTGCAAATTATGGTGGAAAATAAGTATTTGGTCAATATCAAAAGTTCATCTCAATACTTTGTTATATATCCTTTGTTGGCAATGACAGAGGTCAAACGTTTCCTGTAAGTCTTCACAAGGTTGGCACACACTGTTGCTGGTATGTTGGCCCATTCCTCCATGCAGATCTCCTCTAGAGCAGTGATGTTTTGGGGCTGTCGCTGGGCAACACAGACTTTCAACTCCCTCCAAAGGTTTTCTATGGGGTTGAGATCTGTAGACTGGCTAGGCCACTCCAGGACCTTGAAATGCTTCTTACGAAGCCACTCCTTCGTTGCCCGGGCGGTATGTTTGGGATCATTGTCATGTTGGAAGACCCAGCTACGTTTCATCTTCAATGCCCTTGCTGATGGAAGTTGGTTTGCACTCAAAATCTCACGATACATGGCCCCATTCATTCTGTCCTGTACATGGATCAGTCGTCCTGGTCCCTTTGCGGAGAAACAGCCCCAAAGCATGATGTTGCCACCTCCATGCTTCACAGTAGGTATGGTGTTCTTTGGATGCAACTCAGCATTCTCTCTCCTCCAAACACGACGAGTTGTGTTTCTACCAAACAGTTCTATTTTGGTTTCATCTGACCATATGACATTCTCCCAATCCTCTTCTGGATCATCCAAATGCTCTCTAGCAAACTTCAGACGGGCCCGGACATGTACTGGCTTAAGCAGGGGGACACGTCTGGCACTGCAGGATCTGAGTCCCTGGCGGCGTAGTGTGTTACTGATGGTAGCCTTTGTTACGTTGGTCCCAGCTCTCTGCAGGTCATTCACTAGGTCCCCCCGTGTGGTCCTGGGATTTTTGCTCACCGTTCTTGTGATCATTTTTACCCCACGGGGTGAGATCTTGCGTGGAACCCCAGATCGAGGGAGATTATCAGTGGTCTTGTATGTCTTCCATTTTCTAATTATTGCTCCCACAGTTGATTTGTTCACACCAAGCTGCTTACCTATTGCAGATTCAGTCTTCCCAGCCTGGTGCAGGTCTACAATTTTGTTTCTGGTGTCCTTCGACAGCTCTTTGGTCTTCACCATAGTGGAGTTTGGAGTGTGACTGTTTGAACTTGTTAACAGTATAAAAGACACCTGTCCACAACCTCAAACAGGTGCCATTGATACAGGTAATGAGTGCAGGACAGAGGAGCCTCTTAAAGAAGAAGGTACAGGTCTGTGAGAGCCAGAAATCTTGCATGTTTGTAGGTGACCAAATACTTATTTTCCACCATAATTTGCAAATAAATTCTTTCCAAATCAGCCAATGTGATTGTCTGGATTTTTTTTCTCATTTTGTCTCTCATAGTTGAGGTCTACCTATGATGCCAATTACAGGCCTCTCTCATCTTTTTAAGTGGGAGAACTTGCACAATTGGTGGCTGACTAAATACTTTTTTGCCCCACTGTATCTATGTGCGTTATTTGTTGTTTGTACCCATGGTACAGCCCTGAAACAATAGTGCACATTTAGTTTTTTGTTTTTTATCTAAAATACATGGACACCAAATTTTTTTAAATCCTGACCTTGACCTTTGACCATGACCTCGACCCAAACACTTACCCTGGCACTGAACTAGATCAGACCTTGATCTAGGTATTTTTTCTTTATTTTTTTCTTTTATTTTTTAATATTTATTTTTAACTTTTTGTTAAAAATAAAACCTTTTTTCCCCCCTCTATGCTAGGAGTTAGACAGATACAATGTATCTCTCTCCTCCATTCATAGAGAGAGAGAAAAACAAGGGGGCCAGGCTGTACAGTGACTGAAGCCAATCAGATGCTATTACAGCGATCATGTGACCTGGAATTGTCCCGATCGTTAGAACAGGACAAGGGGCTCTCTGGGAGCACGCTGTGCAGCTTCCTCCCAGCACAAAGACAGGTACGCAAATATGTGGCCCCACGGAAAAAAAACTCAGTTCTGTGAGGCCGCATATTTGTGTTACTACTGCGTCAAGGGGTTAAAGGCCCCTTTCACAAGGGTGTCATCCGTTCAGTCACATTTTTGCTAAGAAAACACAGATTCAGTTTTCATCAGTGTATATATTCCATTTACATTCTGTTTTTTTTTATGTTTTTATCAGTTTGCCCATCAGTTTGCAACAGACAGATGAATACTGAACAAACAGAACGCCCATGTGATAGGGGCCTTAGAATATCGGTGGGTGATCATAAAAAGTGAAATAAATGTAGGCAGCTCACCTTGGCAAGTGTCCAAGAAAGCACCAATTGGTGTACTGCCTGATAAGTTTAAATGGCAAGAATCCACAGCCGAAGAGGTCTTCAACAACACACCCCAAGGTTGGGTGTATCATGATCAACAACAATGCTTTAGGTTCGATCACAATAATGTTAGATAAATGCAAGTCCAAAGTAAAACTCAACTTTTTTTCTCAGATCATACATTGCTCCCTTTTCCCTTATTCCTAAATAAGATTGTTCAATAAGTTTGCATAACATTTGAATTTGTTTCATAATAATTTTAGGGTTGTAAAATAATTAAAAGATAAAGCCAGTAACTGTTTTTTGTTTTACTTCCCACAGCCAGCAGTCAAGTTGCTGTACAACAGAAGCAATAACAAGTATTCGTATACCAGGTATGGTTGGTCACCTCACAGTATGGGTTCTTAAAAACGGTTTAAAATAAGGGTAATCTTTAATATACTAATGGTTATAACCTTCTGACTGTTCTAGGCATCAGGGTCATCTCAACAAAATGAGGGGCCTAACATGAGTAAAAAGAGGTTCAAGCTGCCTATTGCATTGATGGCGGTAATTGTATAATGCCAGCATTTGATTAAGTTTACAGTAACACCAGTCTGTCAGAGAATGCATGCTTCATTAGGATGGCTGCCAAAATATGGGATCTTTGATAAGGTGTTCGGTCTTCCTGTGAATGTTACATAATAGGTTTCCTTTATACACTTCACTATGACTATTAATGATTACTTAATCTTATTCTTAGTCATTTTTCAACTGTGTGTGACAAATAAGATATGTATGTGTCAGGGCTTTGCCTGGCATTGTGGCCTTTGGCCCAGGCACTTACAACTACGCTGCTGTTTGTTCAAAATTGTCAGTCTACAGAAAATAAATTGTTCCATTATGACTGATACTGCTTTGTTTTATGGGATGAAAGTATGAAGCTGACCATACACTTTCTGCTGTCCAATTTCCATTTGTTTTACCAATACTAGTACTCAGGGGACAAAGCTGACCAACTAATTCAGTTAGTATCAAATCAGTTGGGAGGCATGGCCACAGTTTTATAAAGTCCTATTTCCAAAAATGTGTTTTAAGGCATCTCTGTTAAATTTCTATATCAACCAGCTCTCTGCTGTAGATTTTCTAACTAATTATCATCAAACCAATTATTTGAATTTTTTTTTTCCTTCAGTATGATTAATCCTGAATTATGTATTTTTTCAGCAATTCCGATGACAACATGCTGAAGAACATTGAGCTGTTTGATAAGTTGTCTTTACGATTTAATGGGAGAGTTTTATTTATCAAAGATGTAATTGGTGATGAAATCTGCTGCTGGTCATTCTATGGTCAAGGTCGAAAAATCGCAGAGGTCTGCTGCACATCCATTGTATATGCTACAGAGAAGAAGCAAACCAAGGTATAGTGGCTAAATAATTTTTCATTCAAAAGTTAAAAAAAGACACTACATAGTTGAGGCAGGATGAACAATATCAGAGAAATACATTTCTGTGGACAGAGTTACAAGTTCAATCAAATCTAAGAGAACAAGACACGTAGAATCAATAGATGTTATCAGCGCAAATTTATTTTTAAGTTGTATGTCAGTAGGCTGTATAGGCAATAATTGTGGCATTTTTTTGTGTGCCTCTCCAGGATGAATAATAAAGTACCAAATAGGAGTTCAGACAAACCACTTACAGCACTTCTTTTAACCACTTGCAAACCGCCCACCCTACTTTTAATACAGGCGGGCAGCGGGTACAGGCAAAGCAACGTACCCCTCATTTTGCTTGCTGCTTGCCCACCTGCATGATCATAACGTCAACAAAGCTTTTATAAAACATTGTAATTCATAACCGCTTTGCTTCCATTACTAGTGAGCTGTGACTGGCCCCCAGCTATCACATGGTACCTGGGCCAATCGCAGCACTCTGTACCATGTGTTTAGCTGTAGCCAGTCACAAATCACTAGTATTCCGAGTAGTCATGAATTGAACCCATTCATGACAGTTCAAAGCATTGCTGGTGCGATGATCTTCATTGTACCAGCAATCAAAGTGGAAAAAAAAAACACTGATCACCCCTAGAATAATTCAGTGTTACTATGGTAACATTGAAATACTCTGATGAAAGTATTAAAAAGAATAGTCTGTTAAAAAAAAACAATTTTAAATATTGAATACAAAAATTTTATTTATTTTTTTTAATTAATTTTCTTTTTTTTACATGCTGTCACTAGTCAGTGTCCTTGATCACCGCCACACCAGTCATATGACACTGTACAGCGCTAGTGATGGAAAGTAAAAGTAAAAAAAAATAAACATTTAAACATTTAATTCCTTCATTTTCCAAAAATGTGATAAAATTGCAACCTTAAAAAACTCGCCATGCCTCTTACTAAATACCTCTACTTTCCAAAAAGGGGTAACAGTACTGTCCTGACATTTAAATGGCCTCAAGAAATTAGATCACCTGTCAGTACATCAAAACTGATCAATTTTTACATATATATCCCATATTTTGTGGACAGTTTTCCTACAGACTAAATATACACCTATTGGGATTTTTTTTTTAAGAAAGACATATAGCAGAATACATTTTGGCCTCAATTTATGAAAAAATTGGATTTTGTTTATTGTATGTATGTTTTATAACAGAAAATAGACTATATCAGGTTTTTTTTTTACATATTTGGTCTGTTTTTGTTTACATACATCAAATACTACCAAACGAAAGTTCTATTTGTGTGAAAAAAAAAATATCAATTTCATTTGGGTACAGCATTGCATAACCATGCAATAGTCTGTTTAACCACTTGCCTACCGGGCACTTATACTCCCTTCCTGCCCAGGCCAATTTTTAGCTTTCAGCGCTGTCGCATTTTGAATAATAATTGCGCGGTCATGCAACATTTCACCCTTATGAAATTTTTATAATTTTTTTCACACAAATAGAACTTTCTTTTGGTGGTATTCAATCGCCGCAAGGTGTTTTATTTTTTTGTGCTGAAAACTGGTCATTTTTCTCCTTCACTGATGTGCGTTGATGAGGCGGCACGGATGGGCGACACTGATGGGCAGCAGTGCTGAACAGCACTGGTGGGTGGCACTGGTGGGTGACAATTTCCGGTCATCAGCAGTACTTTCCTCACGCAGTGACAGCGTGAGGAAAGTGTAGCCGATAACCGGCAACTGCATTTACCGGTGATCTGCTGTGTCATTGGACATGGATGATCACGTGGTAAAAGGGCGCTGTGATTGGCCTTTTACCACATCACGTGATCAGCTGTGTCCGTAGGACACAGCGATCACGGACATCGCTGGGAGGGCGCATTCTGGGAGGACGCCGTATGACTGGCCAACCGCGCTGTAGCCATCATTCGGCTATATCGCGGTTGGCAAGTGGTTAAAGTAGCGTAGTGCCGCATAGCAAAAGATGGCCTGGTCAGGAAGGGGGTCATATTTTCCGGAGGTCAAGTGGTTAAAGAATAAAAAAAAAAGCTGATGCTTTTTTAAATTTTCTAAAAATGTTTGTGAATGGCTTCCTGTGTAGTGCATTTTAATGTATTGTAGTTTTCAAGGATGCAAATAAGTTATTATGTGGTATTGTTCAGGTGGAGTTTCCAGAGGCAAGGATCTATGAAGAGACTCTTAACATTCTGCTGTATGAAGCACAAGATGGACGGGGACCAGATAATGCTCTGTTGGAGGCCACGGGAGGAGCAGCAGGCCGTTCCCATCACCTAGATGATGATGATGAACGGGATCGCATTGAGAGAGTTAGGCGTATCCACATCAAAAGACCAGATGACAGAGCGCATCTCCATCAGTAGGACTTGTCTTGTCCATGTTCATTGCATTCTTTTCCGTCCACAAGAGATGTCTGCTTTTTTTTTAAACCCAAACCCATGTGGGAAAAGAAGGTCTGAGGTGGTCACCTGCATGGAAGTTTAAGACCAGCCAAAACTGTTACACTTTATGGTGATTTATACAAATCACATTGAAGGGACAATTCATTTTGAATGTTTGCTTGTGTGGGGATTTCCTCAGTTCTAAGTTAGTGCTAGTTACGAAGTTGTAAATCTGCAAATAAAGAGGCAACGTAGGTTATTACAGGTATTGGAATAAAGCGAGAACCTTATTCAAATGGACTTGTTATGTTGTCTTAAAGCATTGCTTGATGTTCATTGGTACAGTACATGTTATCTGTATACTGTATAGCAAACCAATATTGTGCTTAGCTCTGTGGAGGTTTCCCTTATTAGTCAGTTTGTATTCAGCTGTTCTTGCTGCATTACTTTTCAGCTCTGACTTTAACACATGTACAGTACACCGATGCCTTTTATTACTTTTAACATTTTGACTTTTAAGTCAACTATGACCCTTTTTGTGGCTCTAGAACTATCATTTTGGGATGTATCCAAATCAACCACAGAAGCGATGCACCTTTAAGTATTTGACTTTCTTTCTATGTCAATATTAAATTTCTGTGTATATTTTCCTTTGTTTTTACATAGCCTTGGTTCTTTGTGTATTAAATAATTTATATTGCCCCGTGTCTTAATAAACTTAACTACAGACTCTGTTTTAATCTTGAATTAGTTTGCATACTTTGATGCTTTTATATGATTTGGTATTCCTGCAAACAGGAGGGAAAGCTAGTTCCTAAATAATACCTCATATGCAACTTGTGGGGAGACAATGTTTTTGACCAAATTATTCTGTTGAAAAGGGGGTGGAATTCATAAATCTCAGGTGGGGAATATTTATGAAGTATTACACTTCAAATGTGCCAAAAAGCTACCATTGTTCTTTGAAGAGTTCCTTTGAGACTGTTTGTTTTTTTTTTTTTTAAATCACTTCCCGCCCAGCCGCTACAGATATGCGGATGAGGAGAAGCAGTGTCAATCCAGGAGGACACATCCTTTGGGTCTGGTTTGGAATTTAAGGGGAACATCACACCAACATTCTTTTAAAAAATGGCGTGGGGTCCCCCCAAAATCCATACCAGACCCTTATCCAAAAATGCAGCCTGGCAGGTCAGGAAAGGGGGGAGAACAAGTGAGGGCCCCCCCCCCCCAAACAATACCAGGCCACATGCCCTCAACATAAGGGGAAGTGCTTTGGGGCAAGAGGGCTTCTCCCTCCCTTTACCAAAGCACCTTGTCCCATGTTGATGGGGATGGGGACCAAGGGTCTCTTACCCACAACCCTGGACAGTGGTTGTGAGGGTCTGGGGGGGGGCCCCGGATCCCAGCCTTCCCCCATGTGAATGAATATGGGGTACCATAAAAATTAAGGGATAATTTTTGACAAGTCATTTTATTTAAAAAAAAAAAAAAAAAAAAAAAAAAGCAATTGCTATGAATGTTTAAATGTTACAAAACATAACAGAATATGTAAGAAGGAAATCAATAATGCAAAAAATTCAAAATGAACAGCTGATTGCAAAAGAAAGTAGAACAAACCCCCCCAAAAATGTCAAATATATTAATAGTAAAAAGGTCAGGTCTGAACATGTAGGTCCTTTACAAAGTAATCTGAAGTAGGTGACTGAGGACAAAGAGAAAGGAAAATTTATTAAATACCTTCTTCAGCTCTGTGTTTACAAAGGAGCATAACAGACGGCATGGATTTGTGAAAGACAGAATTTGTAAAAAAAAATCTGATTTGTTTTTATGAGGAGGTAAACAAAACCTTAAATAAAAGAGTGGCTGTGAATATAATATACTTGGATTTTGCAAAAGCGTTTCACAGTTCCCCACACATGGCTAATGTGTAAGGTAAAGTCTATAGGCTTGAAAAAATCAGTTTGTAAATGGATAGAAAACTGTCTAAAAGATCATTTTAAAGATAGTAGTGGTTAATGATTTCATACTCTACTCTGAATGGTCTAGGGTTGTTCGTTTTGTAGCATTGGGACCCTTGCTTTTTAAAATATTTATAAATGATATAGGGTCTGGGATTAAAAGTACTATTTCAGTATTTACAGATGACACCAAGCTGTGCAGTGAAATAACGTCTTTACAGGATGTCTCCAACCTACAAGCCGACCTCAATACTCTGTTTAATTGGGCGACAACACTATATTGAAAAAAGTATTGGGACACCTGTCTTTACACGCACATGAACTTTAATGGCATCCCAGTCCGTAGTGTTCAATATTGAGTTGGCCCACCCTTTGCAGCTATTATTATTATACAGGATTTATATAGTGCCAACAGTTTGCTCAGCGCTTTACAATATAACGGGAGGCAATACAGCAACAATACAGTTCAATACAAGAGGGAGAGGAGGGCCCTGCTCCTTGGAGCTTACAATCTAGGAGGGAGGGGATAGTGGTACAAAAGGTAGTAACTGTGGGGGATGGACTGGTTGGAAGAGTAGAAGATTCCATTATTAGCTGAGGACAGGATAGGCTTCCCTGAAGAGAGGTTTTCAGAGATCACCTAAAAGTGAGCAGGGTAGGCGATAGTCTGATAAATTGGGGTAGAGAGTTTCAGAGGATGTGGGAAGTTCTGGAGAGGAGCATGGGAGGAGGAGACAAGGGAGCTAGAGAGTAGGAGGTCTTGCGAGGCGTGGAGAGTACGGTTTGGGTGGTATTTGGAGACAAGATCGGTGATGTAATTTGGGGCAGAGTTATAAATAGCTTTATATGTTATTGGTGTTTTGAAGTTTATCCGTTGGGCAATGGGAAGCCAGTGGAGGGATTGGCAGATACAGAACAGTTAGTAAGGTGGATGAGTCTGGCAGCAGCATTCATGAAAGACTGAAGAGGGGATAGCCTGCGATTAGGTAGGCCAATGAGGAGGGAGTTACAATAGTCAAGGCGAGATATAACAAGGGAGTGAATAAGTTGCTTAGTGGTTTCCGAGGTTAAGAACGGGCGTATCTTGGAGATGTTGCGGAGGTGAAGTCTACAAGATTTGGACAGGGATTGGATTTGGGGCTGAAAGGACAGATGGGAGTCTAGGATTACACCTAGTACCCTGGCATGAGGGGAGGGACTGATGGTTGTGTTATTGATCTTAATGGAGAAGTTAGGGGAGGGGGCACGGGCTGGGGGGAATACTAAGAGCTCAGTTTTGGAAAGATTGAGTTTGAGGAAGTAGAGTGACATCCATGCCGATATGTCACTTAGTAGGTTAGTAAAGCGAGAGGAGACTGAAGGGGTGAGGTGAGGGGTAGAAAAATAGATTTGTGTCATCAGCATGGAGATGGTACTTAAAGCCATGGGAGGTGATCAAGGGAGGAAGTGTAGATGGAGAAGAGAAGGGGTCCAAGGACAGAACCTTGAGGGACCCCTACAGAAAGAGGGAGTGAAGAGGAGGCAGCATTATAGGTAACGCTGAAGGAGCGCTGCGATAGGTAGGAGGAGAACCAGGAGAGAGCAGAGTCTCTGAGGCCAAGAGCATGGAGTTTTTTGAAGAGGAGGGGATGGTCAACCGTATCAAAAGCCACAGAGAGGTCAAGTAGTAAGAGTATGGAGTAGTGGCCATAGTAGTGGTTGTGGTTTTAGCTGTTAGTAGATCATTAGTGAGTTTTAGTAGGGCAGTTTCAGTGGAGTGTAGTGAGCGAAAGCCAGACTGTAAAGGGTCAAGAAGGTTGTTGTCGGTGAGGTGGGAGCTCAGGCGATTGTAGACTAAGCGTTCTAGGAGTTTGAGTTTAGAGGTAAATGGCAGTAGGGAGATGGGTCTTAAGTTGTTCAGGTTGGTGGGGTCCAGGGAGGGCTTTTTAAGTATGGGAGTGATGTGTGCATGCTTTAGAGGGGAGGGGAAGGCACCGATAGGGAGAGATTGAAGATGTGAGTGAGGGAGCATAGGATGAAAGAAGGGGGTGACCGTAGTAGTTGTGAGGGGACAGGATCCAGGGGGCAGGTAGTGAGACGGGCTTCTGAGAAAACCTTAGTGACCTCTTCGGTAGTAGCAAGGTCAAAAGAGGAAAAGTGTTGAGGGAGGTTTAGTACAAGGTATGCTAAGTGGGATAGATGTCTGTGCAGTGGCAATGCCCCTATGAATTGCGTCAATCTTGTTTTTGAAATGATTTGCAATCTCGTGAGCAGTGAGTGAGGTACTGGGTGGAGCTGGAGAAAGAGTTAAAAGTAGAGAAGAGACGACGAGGACTGGATGACAAGGTATTAATAAGAGTGACAAAATAGGCTTGTTTGGCAGCATGAAGGGAGGAATTGTACAGTTGCAAGAAAAAGTATGTGAACCCCTTGGGATTACGTGGAGTTATGCATGAATTGGGCATAAAATGTGCTCTGAACGTCATCTAAGTCACAACAATAGAAGAACACAGTCTGCTGAACATAATACTACACAAACATTAGATGTTGCCATGGTTTCATTGCACATAACATATAAACATTCACAGTGCAGGGAGGAAAAAGTATGTGAGACCCTAGCTTAATGACTTCTCCCAGAGCTAATTGAAGCCAGGATTGAGCCAACCTTGACTCCAATCAGTGAGATGATATTGGATGTGTTGCTGACAGCTGTCCTGCCCTTAAAAAACACACACCTGTTTTGGGTTTACTGGCTTCAAGAAGCACTGTCTGATGTGAACCATGCCTCGCAGAAAAGAGCTCTCAGAAGACCTATGATCAAGAATTGTTGTCTTGCATGAAGCTGGAAAGGGTTACAAAAGTATCTCCAAAAGCATTGATGTTCATGTGTCCACGGTAAGACAGACTGTCTACAAATGGAGAAAGTTTAGCACTGTTGCTACTCTCCCTAGGCGTGGTCGTCCTGTAAAAATGACTGCAAGAGCACAGCGCAGAATGCTGCATGAGGTAAAGAAGAATCCCAGAGTGTCAGCTAAAGACCTACAG